AGCACGACAGATGAAAGTCAATAAGAAAGAGGTTTAGGTTTGACTATGGGACCTACATATATTGATAAGGGCAGTGCTGGTTGACGCAACCCTCACGCGGTTTGTTGCCATTGTCACAAACCTCTATGTTTCATATTGTTTTTGTCTTTTCTGGAATTATCATTTTCCCTCACAATCAGTCACTCATGTATAAGACGACAAATTTCAATCTAGGATGCTTCATCAGCTTCTTGTTCTGTTGATTATCAATTGGCCTCTGGATTTGTGTATCCACATTCAATAGCCACTTTTATGACCTTTTCAAACCTTATCATATTAAAGGAGTAGCTAAGGGGAGGAAAAAGAAGTTTGTGATATACAAACATTTAAAATCTATGTTTCATATGATGAAAATGATACAATTGATAGTGTAAGGTGTTGATGGATTTGATAAAAATAATAAATCAAACACGGAGATAAGGTTTTGCATGACTTTCAAATTTTTTTTGGGATAAAATGAGTCCTAATTTAAATCAACAAAAAATATGTATCTAATATGGAATATAGTCAGTAGAAAAAATGGATAATTTAATATATACTTGACTAGATTTTATGTAATTAAAGATCTTTCTGATGCAACTCACAGGAGAGGCATAAAAAAATTTGGATGGTGTGATAAGATTTTATTAATGATTTATGAGATAAATAAAAACATCTTAAAAAATGAGAGCAAATGTAAAATCATACGTTCTATATCTCACACAAGAATTTGGGCGAATCACAATTTATGAATATTTTTTTGTTGTTGTAAATTTAGAAGTATATTGTACAAGTAGGTAGTGGGAAAGTTTGAAATAAGTTGGGGGTTAGGAAAAGACTGAAGTATTTACCAATTTTTTTTTTTTTGGAAATTTCATACAAGTGTCTAAAAAGAAGGTTTTTAGTGAAATGTTCTCAAGATGATAAGAAGGTGCTTGGAATAACTTTTCAGAAATGATTTTACAGAGTTTGAAATAAACATATGAGATGAATTTTATCTCGACTTACGTAAAAATATTTTTTAAAGTGATTTTGGGAGTTCCCAAACTCTCCATAAGGTGACAATTTTATTATAGCAAATTCATAATATTTATAAATGAACAATTCTGTTGACAACTATATTAGAATATCTTCATTGAAACAAAATCGCAATAACTTTTATGAAATTTACAAAATGATTTTAAAGTTAAATTTAATATATATAATTGTATTATAATATTATAAGGCATTAATGATCCATTGGTCATTTGTTGAAGCTCTATATTAGTCATTTTAAGAACATTTCACTTAGTGACTTAGTGACATGAACTCATGCTGCTGGTTGACTAACAATGGCTCTAGCATAAGTGCCGATAACTTCAACAATCGTTGACGCCCATGATCATCATGCAGGATTTTCTTTTTTCAATTGGCAAGGGGCATTTACCTTAAGTGCAAATTAAAAGTCATTTTCAATTAAAAACCCAAGGAGGTTTTAGAATCTTTTGGGACTGAACTGCAAAAGAAATTTCTTTTGAGGGACTCAATGAAATTCTCTCTTTCAAAAAATAATAATAATAATAATAAAGAAGTTAGTGGTGCTTACGCTGATCCATGTGGCAGTAGGCATCTCACCAACACCTGATGGATTGATTTAAAAATAAATTAAAGCATTAATTAATGATTACAAAAGTCACCAATCACAGCAAAACACACACACAGTTGATTGACGTCTATTTTGTTAGTTTAAGTGTCAAATAGCAATACAACACAGGTAAGCACCCCATTGTGGGGTTTGCTTGTCCCTCTATCTATCTGTTCATTCCTCTTCTGCAAATTCTGGCCTAATTGATTGGCTCCTCACTGCTTTGAAACGCCTTTATCCAGTTCAAGAGATAGACATGATCCTCTTGAGCTTTCAGAATATTGCAGCAACTTCATCTTTGCGGCATATGTCAAACTTATGGCTTATTCACTTTCCTCCTACGTGTTATTACCAGTGAATGATCCTTTTTATTTTCTGATCATAATTTTTCCTCTTTGAACCAGTGATGATAGTGGCTTTCCCTCTAGTCTTGTATATAAGAGTTAGTTTTTGAGATAAGCATGATCATATTTATGAAATACATTTAATGGATGTTTTAAACTTCAACTTTTTTCATTTTTTGCCTTGTTAATTACATGTTACTATATTTCTGCATTAATTTTCTTTCACCCATATCTTTTTTCCCCTTTTATTCTCTCTTTCAGCCTCTCTCTCTCTCTAAATAAAGGTATTTTTAAAAGATAGTATGCATTTTTTTTACCTGTTGATTACCCTTAATCAACTTTAACCAATTTTTTTATTTACATAATTTAGTAATCTGTATTTTATATATAGAATTAGAAACTGGCTACTTTAACCATATAAAGTTTGGTTTTCCAAAAAAAAAAAAACCAAAAAACAAAAACAAAAGTAAGCACCCCATTTAGCACATCTACAGGATAAGATTGAGTTCATCAACCAACTCCCACTAACCACACACCTAACTTTGATCAATCCGCCAAAAATAAATTCACTCTAATGGCCATGTATTCAATACTACAGAAATACTAGTACACAAGATAATATGATTATAAAAAGCTCATATTTTATAATTGCACTATTTTTGGTTGATTTCTTTTTAGCTACCCCTTCGAGCTTATTTATAGAATAAAGAGAAGGTATTTTTCATTCTTAATATAAGTTACGTCATTAAATTTATTATGTGAATGTGCTGTTTCATCCCTAATTTATTATTTTAAGATTTATTCTAAGACTTCTCAATTCTCATCCATTCCCTCATATTAGGTGGGAATAAGGCTAGAAAATTAATAAATTTTAATACAAAGTTAATAAGATTTTTAACATCTTTCTTAATTCTAATAAAAAATATTAGAAATGTTATATAAATAGGATAAAAAAAGAAAGAGATAATTGCAATAAAATTTCAAAAAAAAAAAACTATAAAAAGTTCTAATAACAAATGAGAAGTTTTCATTTCTTATCTTAAAACTTGTTATCATAAGTTATTCAGTTGCCATTAAAAAATTTTAGTAATTATTTTTTTTGGTAATTTTATTGCAATTCTTCAATAAAGAAAATACTATACTGTTAATTTTGTGAAAGCAAGGAATTGGAAGTCATTGGCCCTGTTTACCTTGGTTGGTTCCTTCATTCTTGTTGTAATAAATGCGCAAACCTTTTAACATAAAATATCTTCCACACGCCTGTCCCCAATTAACTCTACATTTAATCCTGACTATAGCCCACCTCCACTCTCCCTTGTTTCTAATTCCCACTACAACATCTTTCTTGTCTCTTAAGCTTTCTTCCTTTCCATTTTGGTGACAAGATGCCTACATCCAATATTTCCAAATCTAGTAAAAGAATGTTCCTTCTGTTTTTGTTTGAACATCCATCAAAATATTGTATTTGAAGTAAAATATGTACGTTTACTTCTTATTTTTGTTTTTCTTGCTTTTCTTTCTTTGTTGAGTTTGGAAAAATTTTCTAGAACACCAATGACTTTATGAGCTAGTTGTAATTATCGTTACTTCAAACGAATACTCATTTTATATAATTCAAGATTTTCTTTGGAAGAGTGTTTTGATCTTTTATCTTGTTTTTTTAAACAAAAAATTAGGTGAGTTGGATTCCGAAGATTTTTCCAAAGCTAGAGTATACCTCCAGATCTAAAGAGTGTTTAAAAATCACCCAAAAATAAAGTCCTCACATCAAAAACAGAATTCAAACCACAATTTTGTAACTTATGAACTGACTTATTACCAACTAAATTAACTCTTATTTGTGTGTTCTGATTTTTTTAGGGTACGTACAGTATATGAATAAATGAGATGAAGAATGAGAAAAAGTTGCCTTCTTGGAGAGAGCTTTCTCATTCGGATTCCCATTTCAATTCCTATTTTATACCAAATGGGGCCCTTAAAGCAACCCGGCTTTTCTATTTTTTATTAGTGGAAATCGCAATTTAAGTAGAACATTTAATCAGATGAGATGAGATAAGACTAATAAATTGGAAGGCAGCAATACAACAGACAAAGTAACTTAGGCTATTTTAACAAGAACTAGACACTCACTTCAGCTGTGCATGCATAGAAGAGAGAGCTGTAAAATTTTCCTTCTTTGGGTGAGATAAACAGACTAAAGAAATAATCATTATACTGTATAAAACCAATATCATCTATTGTTATTCCTTCATTTATTCATTATAGTATATTTTTAAAGGCAAATTGACATTTGGATTCCTTGTAAAATATTTATTGACACTTTAGTTTCCTGGACATAAGATCCTTTTGAGATTGACAACTATGACATACTACATTAACTTTTTTTTTATAAAAAAAAAGGTAATAAAAGTAATAAATTGCCTTATAAGGGATCCAAATGTCATTCTCCCTTTTTCAACATCACCATGCATTATAAATACTCTTCCGGTCCTTAATGTAAGACTTAATTTGAGAGTTGATATTAGTCCTATATATAAGACATAGTTTATACATTTATTAATTTTTTTTTCAAATTAACCCTATTGATATTTTTCCAACAACAATCAAGTAGAATAGAGAGGAAGGGAATTAAGAAAGATGATTAGAATGTTTTAGAAAAAATATACCGTATTAACTAATTTAACTAACATACTTAATCTACTTAAATTAGTTAATTGAGTCTTACATTAAGTACCAGAGGAGTAGAAAGTTTCTGGTTCTCTTCTATGGTAATAGATGCAGATGAAAAGTGGAGTCTCCACATGCATGATCAACTTTAAGTAACAGTCAATACCACTCAGATTACAAGCAGGGAATTTTTTGATGTGAAGAAGAAAAAGCATGCAATTATGAAGATCTTGCATGCATCCGAGCATTTTCAGACCAAGAAAAGCAAGCATAATGAAGATACCAGTTAGTAAATCCCATCAGCAAAACAGTAGTCTTGAATTATTGCAGCAATACTGAAAGAAAGATAGAAATGAAAATTCCAGAATATAAAATTTTATTTGTTTCTCAGAAAAAAGTATCCATATACAGAGAAACCCATATCAGAATATACACAAGACCAAAATTACTCAAGCCCTCTGCCTTGAATTATGTCCACCGCGAATGTACCTGAGCACAAGAAGTTGAAACATAAGTTCCTTGAAGAAATTGGCTCTCCCTAATCAGACATCAGATTGTATTAAAGTCACCGAATTTCAATATTTGAATCCTAAGAAGCTTCTCAAACTTCAAACCGTAGTTCAGAAATGGCATTAATAAATAAAGGACCCCTAAAATTTTGATATAGGTTGGCAACATATGAAGTATATTGTATCAATGAATACACAATTTTATTCATAAATCTTCATAACAAATGTGCATCATATTCTGTCTATTTTAAAGTACTTGATCAGTCAATTCATCATCTCAAAATATATCTATATTATCAACCAAAAAAAAAAAAAAAGAACTAAACATAGAACAAAAATCTTTTCAGACTTATTACCTGAATTCCTCACAACCAAATGCTCAGGCCTAGCTTTATCGACTTTAGAAGAAGCTCGATTCTGCAAAATTTTTATGTTGCTGCACTTTTTCGAGTATCTTCTCAACAAATCACTGAAATGCAGGGGCTGTCATAACTACACTAACTCTGCACTATATGAGGAAGGAAAAGACAAACAAGTAGCACACTGCGCCTGTTAATTTATGCTCTCCAAAGATATATGCTATATGATTGGAGAAACCATGATGATCCAACTACAACACAACTTAATTCACCTCCTCTTGCATCATCTACAGAACATATCTCCCAAAATTTTCCTGATTAAGCTGATACCGAAGCTTTCCTGATTGACTCTGCATATGAAATATATTGCAGGATAAATCTTCCAATCAATTGCTTCCATGGTAATAAGTAATTCAAACAGCATGATATGGTATTCAGAAATTGTATCATTTGTATGAAACTATTAATTACATAAAACACCAGAGGTCATCATCCCAACTAAGGAATATCATTCCTAATACAGAAGAAAGAGGAGGGAGACACTCCTAGTGTTAGCACTTGAGAGAACCTCATATAGTAGAAAGATCCGGAATATCTTTGTCTCCATTGAACTTTCAGAGGAAATATCTAAATGAGCTTGATATCAATTTGTGACCCTTTCAGGCCTAAAAAGAAATGTGACCCCTAACCTTGAGGCATAAAATTTATGAGTTCTTTTGACCCATACACCTCTTTAACCTATCTAATTCTATCGCCCGCAAAGGCTTTTTTATCACTCCTTACTCATACTTGACCCCAACATTATGATCACCTGAGAAAAACGCTATAAATACATGAAGCAGTTAGGTAGCTGCATACTAGTGGAAAGCCCTTTCTTCCGTTTGTAAAGTCAAAAAGTAACTTTCCCTTGTTGCATGACAATATAAGAGGACAAAGATAAAACAAAAGCATCCCTAACCAATTATTCAGTGTTTTCAAGTGACTCTACTTAACCACCAAAAGAAAAGGAAAAGATCACATGAAGGAATGGTTGAGAACATGACCCTCCACCAAACCCAAAAAAAAATAACTGCTGAATTTGGCTAATCTAGGCCTTGGTTCTTCCTCCACGATTAAGAACCGCTTTATACCGGACACTAGAGACAGTTCAAACACTATCACCATGACAGGATATATATCGCTGCAAATACAAGTTGATGCACAGTGTTTGCTCAATATATATATTCGATTCAATACCTGCGTAGCTCCATGAGGTTCGCATCGACATATACACTAAATCAATCAAAAATCAAACATAAGACAAAGAAAATGAAAGAATCAGATTAATCAAACCTTGGAAACAGATTCCGCCATGATCACCCCTTCTGGGAAATCATCTGCCTCCCCAGACGGAGCCGCTAAACAATCCGGCGGCGTCTCGAACAGGGACAAAGAGAATTGCTTACGAACAACGCCAACATCAAAATAAATCAACCCAGAACTCGGTATGTCCACGCGAATACCCTTCACCGGAAACCAAAGAAATAGCTCCTGCGCCGTTATCCCAGACAACGCTCCCATCTGTCCATAACTCAAAGTCCCCGTAACGTTTTGTTCGAAATGCAATTCGCTCTCGAATTTGGCATTGCAAGCTTGATCCAGATGCACCCAGAATCGACCTTCTTTGTCAATGTCGAATTCCTTCACACCCTTCGGAAGCAGACCCATGGGGAGTCCATGTTTGCGAAGAACTTCATAGATAGACTTAGCAGAGCTCGAAGCTGCTGCGAATGTGAGAAAGAATGAGAGGCATATTGAAAGTAGAAGAAGAAGAGGAAGAAAACGACTGGTAGAGAAAAGAGCCATTTTTTGAAGCTTAAAGCTTGTCAAAGCATTGGAATTGGGAATTTGCAAGTAGAGAGCTGAGAAAAATGGGTACTTATGGGAGGTTTTAGGATCTAAAAGAAGGAAGAGAAGGAAGGATGAAGAGCAGAGAGAGATGCGAAGGAGGAGGAAGAAAAGGGAGACAATGGTGCCAGCTTGAATACAGGGAGGATTAGGAGAATGATCAATTATTGGTGGTCTGTGGGGTCCTTGGATTTTGCAATCTTCTACCATTTGAACTCATATGCTTGATTAGAATCCTAATGCCCTGTTTGGCTTCATTTCTATTTCTGAATAAAATCTGACTTATATTTTACCGGCTATATGTGGCATTTTTCATTGCACATAATTTTACAATAATTCATATACTAATAATTTTTAAACAATATAATTATTATTTAATATGGTATTGCACTTTTATAAATTTTAGATGGATGATTGTATATGAATATTTTTATATATTAAATTGATAAAATATATTTATGCATTATTTTAGTGCAAAAATGTAATTTTTGTCATTTAACCCTAATACATCTAATTTCATTAAACAAAATTAAAAATGTTGAGTCAAAGAATTATAACATTATAGTTTTTCTGATCTAATCATTTTTATTTTTTAAAATCAAATTCAATGTTTGAGTGTTCGAAAATATACTGTCAACATTACAGCTTATCATATTAACATTTGCTATTATTAAAGCTAACTTTGTAAGATTGAATGACTGAAAATATATTTTATAAAATTAAAGATCAAATTAAAATTTCATATAAAGTTAAATGATAAAAATACCCTTTTACTGATTTTTTAAAATAATTTTAATCTTTTTAAAAAAATACAAAGAAGGTATTGTTGTGAGTAATTTTGTTGACTGATTTAATTGATTAATCATGTTACTGTAATAATTAATAATAATAATTTTCTTATTATTTACTCTTATATCTTATTAGTACTAGTCATCATTTAAATGGAAACAAATCTTTGGCAAAAGATGGAAATAAACCAAGTATTAAGAAAAAATTAAATAAATACATATCTTTTATTTTTAAAATATGGGGGGAAATGAAGTTTTGTTTCAGAAGTTGTTTTGAAACATGTTTTTGACAAACTGCTTCTGGAATTTGAAAATTGAAACCAAATCACAATCAGACACGACGGTTTTAGTTAATATCCGGTAGTTTTTGTTTGACAGGTTCTTATGGAGGATTTTTACCTCAAACTTTTAAGTTAGTTTTTTCAAATCTCTAAAAATGGTAGAAATATTTAGTGTATACTTTTGACCGACGTGCTTCCATTTTATATTACTCATATTAAATATGAATAATATAATCATTTTCTTAAAAACTTTACACTTATGATGACATGATGATATAAGGACAGTCATGTCAAGATCAAGACACACTAATTCCATATATTGAAAAATAAAATAAATTTTTTAGAAGGGAAAATATTTATTCTGACTTCAATATGATTTAAGAGGTCGAACAAATGTTTGGAAGTTCAACTTATGTTTTTGTAAGCTAAGTATTCTTTTATATATATATATATATATATGTATAATTCAGAATATTTTCAAATTATTTTGAATTTGAGATTAATCTCTATTAGGCTAAAAGGGTTAAAATTAAAATATTCCTAAAAAGTATATTTTTTAAGATTCAAACTTGTGTTCTTCTACTTATGAGAAGTGATGCTACCTCATGTAAGGTTAAATATTCTATTAACAATTGTTATGTGGCTTTTAGTATGTAAAAATTATGATAGGCAAAATAAATTAATATACATAATGATATTGTATTATTAATAAGCTGTTGATTGAGTTGGTAAACAATCTCACTCTCATTATTAATATGCCAATATATTATGTTTTATCAACATATAAATCTTGATCAATTCATATGTTCTACCTTTGAGAGAAGAATAAATGTATATATTATATTTAAAAATAGAAAATGACAACACATGATGAGTGTGAACAGAGAATTAATTCATTTATATTATGCATTTACAAAAAAATAAAATAAAATAATGCCAATGTATAATGAAACTTCACTTGCATTTTTTTTCCTTTACCAATTTCCAAATGCATCATAATACATAGTATATTTTTAGAGGTATTTTAGATATGATATATATAAACTTTAACAATGCTCATGAATCGTTTGCTTTCCTTAAAATAAGGTAGGTTAAGGGTTTAAGTGCTGGGAGATGAAAAAACTACATTGAGATTTAAATGCAGGATTTCGTTGACAAGTTTATTTTAATAATAAATATAAAATTTTAATATATTTTTCCCTTAAATTTATGAATTTTTTCCTAACTTATGATCTCCATTAATCACACATATTAAAAAAATATAAGTAACGGGGTAATGAAATGATTAAAGGGGATATTTAAAAAACCCAACATATTTGTTAAGTTTTATGTTGGCTGCCAAGAAACTAACATAATTCTTCTCCTTTATTCGGGTCTGAGATTGGTTACATAGTATAGGCACTGATAAGGAGAGTAAATTGGATAGATTGAAATCCTCCAAATAAAAGTAGATGAAGATCAAAGAGAGCATTTAATGAGTTCATCAAACAAAACTCTTTGGCTAACAACCTATTTAAGGATTTGGTATTGATAAAGTATAATGATATCATGTGACCCATATAACCAATACCACCTAATAAGTTAAAACTTCCTTTTGTTTTAATATTAACTAAAGCACATTTTTAGTTCTTTAATTTTATACAAAGTTTCATTTTGATCCCTTAAGTTTAAAAAATATATTTTTAATCATTTAATCCCAAAATCATGAGTCTTAAATGATAATTTTATGTAGTGATTATGGTTTTTTTAAAATCAAACTTGATATATTAGTACTTAAAAATGTTTTATCAACATTCAAAATCTCAATATCATTATTTTTTTAAGGATTTTATAGTTAAATGACTAAAAATATAACTTTTATAATTAAGGGATAATTTCAAATTTTTTATAAAATTACAATATTAAAATATTTTAATATTTAATATTTATAAATTAGTTATTCATCTCTTATATTCAAGACTAAAAAGAGTGATTTTTTTTTTGGGAAATAAAAAAGGGATCATCCAAACAAGACATATGAGATGAGGTGTAAATCTGTAATTAAGAGAACTATGAGGGCGTTATTCCAGACGAACCCCTAAGCGACGTGATGAGGCTGTGTATTCGGCCACATGGGGGAGGGATGGAGTTCGAAAATAGCAAAGACGGCAACAGTGACTACACGCGCCATAAAGTAGCGTAAAACAACGAATCAGAATCGTGAATATGCATGACCATGAAAGCGACGTCGTTTGGATTTTGCATATGGATGAGTCCCAGGGGCAAGAATATTTGTCATTTTGGGGGTAAGGAACGCGTGACTGTCTAGAAAGGCTGCGTTTGGTGATCCAAAGGGTAGAACCGCCCATAATCGGATTAAATTGCCACATGTGGGCGATTTTGACCACAGATCCAAACATGGACTCATTATTATTCCTCTAATTTTATTTTCCTGATTTTAAACTGAAAAGAAAGAATCAATTTTTGGAATAATAATTTTTACCAAAGTCCACGCAATAGACAGGATTCGTATGGCGTGACAATGATTGTGATTTTATGGAATACACAATCATTATAGTTTTGTCTTGTCTAATTTAATACACAATTATGTAGAGTCTCGTATTTTAATTAATTTATTGGGTCCGTTTAATTATTAACACACATAATTTTATGTAATTATATATCTTTTTTTTTTTGCTGCCAGCCTAATTATATATCAAATACTCCTCCGGTTCTTAATATAAGACCCATTTAACTAATTTGGTTAGATTAAAGAAGTTAGGTAAGTTAGTTAATTATAAGAAAAGTGACGCATTTTTTCCAAAATACCATAATTATCTTTCTTAATACCCCTCTCCCTCTTCTACTTGATTATGGTTGAGAGAGTATTTATAGGGTAATTTAGAGAAAATTGATAAATATAAGAAATGGGTCTTATATTTAGGACCAAAACCAACTCAAGAATTGGATCCTATATTAAGGACCGGAGGAGTATATAACAAGCTTTATTATACATACCTGATTTATAAATAATTCTTTACTTTTGCTTAATGGTTTATACGGAAAATTGTTTAAAAAATGATTTCCAATTTTTGATTAGAAAGAATTACCTCGTTCTAATTTTATTTGATGTCCTTTTTTCTTTGCCACAAATTTTATTTGACGTCCTTAAAGCAAAGAAAAAAGAAAATCAAATACATAGAATTTACTTAAACTTTGCACCCTTTTTGCAGCACATCTATATCAATCTCATTTAGAATTTCATATTAAACATATCAAATTTTAGATATAGGTGGATAATATTCAATGGTTATCATATTTTTTTTTTGCCAGCAATAATTAGTACATTTATTATTTTCCAACAGAATCTTATGTATGTGAACTTTACTTTTCATGTAAACTAGATGTGTATCGAGTTAGAGATGGAAAAAAGTGATAATCCTTTCATCCTTAACTATAAGTGCCTTTTTTATTTATTTACCATCCCAGAAAATATTTTAGGCTAATTGATATCTAAAACATTTTTATTTCTTTCAGTCCTTCCATTAAATTTTTTAAATTTTTACAAGAAGAGAGTCATGGGATGTTAATCATTTATTAGGACACATGAAATATGCTTCTTTGGTCTTATTTATAAAATAAAGAGACAAGATTTTTTTGGATCCTATTTATAAGTCATCAGTCACCTTGTTAAATTTTTAATATGAATATACTATTTTGCCCTTCATTTATTATAGTATAGATAGTTACTCTTCTGGTTCTATTTATAGGACTTCTAACATACTACACCTTTAAAAAAAACTTAAATTATATTAACTCTTCTTTAAAATATAGTAACTTTTTAACTTTATTTCTATTTAATATATACACCTTTAAAAAAAATTATTTACACTATAATAAATGAAAGAAAAAATAATATATTTACATTAAAAATTTAATGAGATGAGCTATAAATATGACTAAAAAAAATCTCTCTCTGCCTTATAAATAAGAATAAATGTTTTTTTTTTGGAAAGATGTATATTAAATAGAGATAAAGTTACAAAGTTATTATATTTTAATAGAGAGTCAATACAATTTAAGATTTTTTCTAATTTAGTGGGGTATTCTTTAATTATTTCTAGAACTTTCTAAAGAGTTGTAATTAGAATTGATTCTTATGTTCCTGAACTGCACAAGTTTACTATAAAATTCCAACGAAGAGTTAGCTAATAAATGTTTGGAAGAAAATGAATCCAAATTTGCCGTCCTATACATAAGATAAAATTATATAGGTTTCTTCTTTACCAAAATAAACTCCAATTGGTGTTTACCAAGTCAACCCTGAATCAAAAAACAAAAATCTATCCAATTATTTAGGTATTGGGTCAATATATATAATCTTATCATTAATGAAGGGGCACATAACTATAGGTTAATAAATAAATAAATAGATGTATACGACAACTTGTTCATTCACCTAATTAAGCAAAATAATGTCAAATCATGCATTCTATTAGTATAGAATACAGTTGTTCGGAGTAATTCATGTTAATTATGATTATTAATCATGTTGAAAATGTAGTAAGAACTTGCTGGCAAATGATCATGACTTATTTTACAAGTGTACTAACATTATTAGGACCCAATATTCTGTCAAAGTAGCTATAAAGTTAATATGCATATATACTTCTGTTTATGTGTCAATAATAATCGTGATCTAGCTAGTAACATTGATGATATACAGTTAGAGTGAAAAGAGACATATGCTCATGTAAAACTAACGAGACAATTTAATACTTATCTGGTCTTTAATGTAGAACCCATTTAGAGAGTTAATATTGACTTTATATATAAGATTTATTTCATATGTTTATCAATTTTTTTTTAAATTAACCCTGCTGATATTTTCTTAGCAATAATTAAGTAGAAAGGAAGGAGAGAATTAAAAAAAAAATGATTAGAGTGATCTAAAAAAAAAGTATCATATTGGGACCAGAGAGGAGTATAACAAGTACAACTTTGCAAATTGATACTCTTGTTCTAGATAAGGCAGGGGATAAAAAGAAAGTACCCTTTGTCCCCCCCCCCCCCAAAAATACAGGAGCTATTTTGAGCTAATTTGGATTGATAAAAAAAGTTAGGTAAATTAATTAATTATAACAATTGTTAATCTCTTGAAAATAATCCTGTATAACATTATATTATTTATTAATCCAAATGTGTTGATGTGTCATTAAAATTTTCTGCAAGCTACTCTTTTACTAATAGTTTGCAATGTAGGTTATACAGCTCAAATTCAGAGAGTCTTTGGTTTGTTAAATATCAAAGCCAAAAAAAAAATGCTTATTTACCTCTAATCTATTACTGTATAAAACAAAGTACAAATGACATTAGATTTAACGTGGAAAACTCCCTAACATCCAGGGAAAAAAACCACAGGACCAATTCTAAGAAATTCCACTGCATCAAAAATCATTACAATATTCTTAGGAATAATGCACATTAAGAAAAGACAAATATATCATCTAAACATGAACGTAGATTAGCCTCATGCGTAAATTAGGCTTTTATGGGAAGCATGTACGTATATTATAGTTCAATAACTAAATGAAGATTATGGAAAAGATCAAGAGGGTGAGACCCGCAGTTTATTGTCATTTGGCTTCAATCTTCCGAAGGCAAATTGCTGGTTCTCTGCTATGAATGTATATTGAGAGAAAGATCTATCAGATTTGATATCTGCTGCAATGGCTTCGCTGCACACAAATCTGCATAATTTGTTGAGCCCAATGAACCTTTCATTCATCTGAGACCAGCGACTCAACTATCAACAAAGGGATAAATGGAAAAAGCAAAACAAAAGGATATTCTAATCAGACACATTGAAACTGTAGACGAACTCAATAAATATGAGATGTTTTTTCCCCCGTTTGGAGCTCAAAATATCTAGGCTTTCAAACTAGAACAGCCAGCGATATAATTCATTTGCAACTGAATTCAAATTCAGAGTAGGAATGTAATTTCCTTATCACATTCATCCAATTTTGAAATTGAGCAACAAACTAAAATCAATTAAGAATAAGAAGACATGGTGATCTAATTTGTAACCCAATTTTTCATATTTCAACTCAATGAGAAAATAACTTGCTTAAAATGCAGTAGTCATAACTCGCAAGATCAACCTGAATATCTTGACCTGGAATTTAAATTTGTAAGAGATAGTAATTAATCAGTGTTAAATGATAATAATAAGGGACACAACAAACTATTATTACAGCTATAGGCTTAACACATCTGTTAAAATACTTTAATCTTTTTCTTGGTACCCCTTAAAAAACTTTAATCCTTTCCTGCTTGTTTGGTTTTTTAACCCTCTTCAACATTCAACCCATTTAAGAAGCCTTGCCTTCATAAAATGGATCAAATATGTGCTCGTATGAATAAACTCAGGTGTCTAACAGGTTTTCCTCTTACTTTGAGGGTGTTTGGTTAAACAAAAAGGCACTTTAAAAAGATGCTTTCACAAAAGTCACATATTTACTTTATATACCAGAGAAACACTTTTAAAATTATAGTTTGATTTCTAACCAAATGCCCTCAAATCATGTCAAATTGAAAACCCGCCAAGTTAAAAAATAATTAGAAGATCATAATTCCTTTTATTGTAAATAAATATGACTAAAACTGACGAATTTAAATCAAAACCATGAAATCATGATCACTGAGTAAGAAAAATATCGAAATTAACTAAAGTAGCAGGGGAAGCGTCAAATTTGAAGTAGGCTGGAGCACCTTTCAATTGTTATCTAATTTTCGTGTAAACAGAGCAAATGCAACTAATCATCAAGTAATACATTGCCTGTCTGAATGTTTTCAAAGTTTTATAATCCTTGTAACTGGACATAACCTGATTTAGTTGGCGAATACGACAGTGAGCATCAAGCGAAGTACCTTGTTTTAAAGAGTCAGTGAACAGAGCATGTTCTGCGAGGCCTTATTCTCTTGGAAACAAAGGTCAGCTGCAATGAAACGTTAATTAGTAAGAGGAGTGGAGTTTAACAACTTGGAAACATTCCAGTACTGAATTCTTGCATGAAGGTGAAAACAAGTGGGGTAGTATTTCTTTATTTTAAATAAAGTAGTTATAGATATCATACAAGGTGCTTTTGTTTTAACGACATAATAGTTACTCATGAGTATACCTTTAGATGTATGCAATGAGGAGTTAGATTTGATGCCCGTTGATCCGTACATGTGGAATGTGGGCAATTTTTGGCCACTCTGCTCCTTTCTCTCTCTTGCATCTTTCCTTTAAAAGTGGAGAAGCTTGACCCAGCCGTAGCGTTTGTAAATTAGTGAGGCAACACATTCTTTCAGGAAACGACTCCAACTTTTTACAGAACTGAATGTGGATAAATCGAAGCGATGGGAGATCACAAATCCAGTCCGGTAAAACCTTGAGGTCATGACAAGAAGTAAATTCGATTTTTTGGAGAGAATGTAGGCAACAAAGGTCTTGGCATTTTACATTATAATCCTCATCACCATACCATGAACCAAGGATGCCAACAGTGAATGCTTCAAGTGCAGAAGATAGATTTCGCATATGATGAAATGGTTTCTCTAGACTTGAAAAATCGGCAATCGAAAGATGTTTAAGAGAGGAGAGATTTTGCATCCATTCCTCTGGTAATGCTTCCATGTCTATCCCTTCAATGTGAAGAGACTTAAGCATGGAGAGAGAAGGGGTCATATCATCTGATGTTGATGGCCCAATTGTGCTCATATTTAATGTGTCTACCAATGGCTTTGTGCTAGAGTCAATTAATTCCAGATGGCTCACGAGATTTGGAAAAGTAGGCATGCAACTTAGGTTTGGGCATGCATCAATTTGTAAAGATGAAAGACGTGAAAATGGAGGTAGTGAATGATGCCACCCATTATCTCTTGTAGTTCGGACATTATCCTCCCTTTGCCACCCCCTCAAACTTCCACAGCACTCAATTTTTAATTCATCCAAAGATGGGAAGAAGTAAGTTGAAGAGGAACGTCCCTTATAATATATGCACTCCAATTTATGCATGAACTTGATGTGAAGAGTCTTGAGACAAACAAGTCCTTCCAATGGTGGCAAGTATTGACAAGTTCTCATACTGGAGAGCTTCAATTCAACTAGATTTGTACACGACAAAAGCCATCGGGAAAGGCATCCTCCCGGGTACTTTTCTATTATCAAAGCCTTCAAATTTTGATGAGGGCGGAGATTTTTCAATAATCTTGTAGCATCATTGTTTTTCATCTCTGGATGGTCTCCCCATTTTAGGGTCAAGGAAATGAGGTTTTTCTTTGCTATCAAATTAACATCCCCAGACTCTTCCTCCACATCCATCACTGAACCAAGTTTCTCAATGACTAACTTACCTCTAAGGTTTAGTTCTTTTAATTCATTCAATTTGGCCTTCTTTGTCACTTTATCATCACTACCGACTATGAAATGTGACAACCTTTGCATGGTAGTCATCCTGTCTAACCCGATGGGCATCCCAGCTTCAAAGGCCTTGCAACCTTTTATATCAAGTTGGCGCAAATTTATCAACTTTGTGATAATATCTCCAGAAAATTTAAGATGGCCACACCAATTCAATATCAATGCTTGCAAATGGACTAGGCTGCTTATACTTTCGGGCAAGCAAGTCAACTGAGAACAAAAGGAGAGATTAAGATACCTCAAATGGCTCATTTTACCTATTGATTTAGGCAAATCTCTCATCCCACCATGCAATGATAAATTCAGACTACGTAAGCGTTTGAACTCAAAAAAATCGGACGGATTCCTTTCACCTTTTCTATTTATTTCAAGAAAAGTTCTCAATCTACTTGGATCCAGCATTTTCAATGAATCAAGGGAGTTGTTTTTCTCAAAAGAAGCATGGATAGGACACCTCGCAAGATTTTTTCTCCCCTCAACATGTAGGCAATAATCAGAGGTAGCAACTGATTGGGACAAGTCGTGCATCAAATCATGCATTTTAAAATATTTTATTTCACCTAATTCATCCATCTCAATGTCTTGCAAAAACGATTTCATCGACAAAATACGAACATACTCTTCACCAACGTCTTCAAGACATTGATTGTTCTCATCTTTGTTTTCAAGGAAGCCTTGTGCCATCCACAAGTCAATCAATTCATCCTTTCCATATTTCCTACCTTTTGGGTATAAAGAACAATAAGCAAAACACTGTTTTAATTCAATTGCCAAATTGTCATAACTCAACTTTAAAATTGGCATAACTGAATTCTCATTTACAAGTGTATTCCAAAAGTCACCTTCCAAGATTGCTTCCCAATCACTTTCCAAAGATTTTGATCGCAACAACCTTCCCATAACTCTTATTCCCAGTGGAACACCGGCACATTTTTCCGCAATTTTTTGGCCAATACACTCAAGATTTTGGGTCATCATTTTACCTTGGTCAAATGCCAATCTTTTCAACAAACTCCAAGATTGGTCATTTTTTAATCCTTCCAAAAGATATGGCATTTTTACATCCATTACATTGCTTACTCCTTGATTGCGTGTAGTCACTAAAATCTTACTACCTTGGGCACCACACATCAAATAATTTTTCAAATGCAGCCACTTTTCGGGATCCTCATTCCACACGTCATCAAGGACTAACAAATATCTTTGGCCATTCAAATTCTCTTGAAGTTTATTTTGAAGTAACTGTAATTGTTGATCGTCCTCTTTTTTGTTAAGTAATGATTCTACTATCTTTCTCACAAGAAATTTCACATCAAAGTCTTCAGAAACACACACCCACATTCGCTTGTTGAAAAAACGTTGCACGTCGGCATCATTGAACACCAACTGAGCAAGAGCAGTTTTGCCCAAGCCCCCAATGCCGACAATAGAAACCAAGGAAACATTTTGATCGCCATTAGGATTGAACAACAAATCAATTATGTCCTTCTTGTTTCCCTCCCTACCAACCACATCCTCTTGGAGCACAAAAGAACTAGTTTCCCTCCAGTTACTCTTTTCACGCTTCTTTTCAACAACTCTTCGATCTAAATTCAACTTTGACATAGTTTCAGCAACATCGTTAAATTGCGCTCTAATCTTTCTAATGTTGCGAGCAATTTTGCCGCGTAAAGCAACTGGGTTGGAGCATGAGAAGAAGTCACGTACCTTTCCCTTTCCCTTTCCTTTTCCGTCCCTCATGCGCAGCAAATGTTGATCGTGGATCTCATCAAGCAAGTCATCTGCTTCATAAAGCACTTGTTTGAGTTTGGTTATCCAGCGCTGGATGAGTTGTTCAGTGTGCTGCTTCTGGTCAGCATCAGCGAGCACAGCTTTAATGTCTTCAATAGTTTCCTTCAGCCAATCAATCTCTCTCTCCACCCCATAGATGGAAGCAATCTCTCTGAAGGCTGCTGAAGCCAACGTGTTGATGAGACTTGTAGCCACACCATATGGGATTTGTTCCGCCATCCTTCCAAGACACAAAGAGAGACTCTGGTGTTTGAGGATCAGATCTTGTAAGTGAGAAAGTTCGAAGACTATGTTCTGACACTTTATCCATGTAGAAGAAACAAGGCCATGTTTTATTATTATTATTATTATTAGTATTAGCATTATTCAGGAAAAAGAAGGCCACAATTTTCAAAACTTGACAGAATGACAGTATCTTTTGAGAATGTCAAAGAATTATGAAAAAAATTATCCAAAAAAATTATTATTAAAAAACCTTAATAACAATTAAACAGCATGTAATAATAAGTTTTAAAGTAAAAAATAATAACTTTTAACTTATTAATATGACTTTTTAATAATTTTTTTTTTGAGACCTTCTTATAATACTTTCAAGAATTATTGTGCATGTCTGACTTTTCAAGATCTACTATTCCCATATTTTAATAAATAAAAAATTCAAACTTGAAAATTATCATTACTTGTTAAATACACAGTTACACACACAAACACACTAAATTAATCAATGCAAGAAAGCAATTTGTGAAGTAACGTTGTTCTTCGCTAACACTGACAATGGATACCATGAATTTAGTAACTAGGCAGTACCTTTTGAGAACTTTTTGTTTTTTTGGCCCACAATCTTTTGAAAATATATCCTTTCAAACATTATCAATTTTACCTCTCGTTTGTAACAAATTGATAATACCAATATATGCATACAAAATCCCTCTAGTAAAGTTGGTTAACTTTTTTCACATATCAAAAAATAAAAGTTTAGTTATTAAACATACCTGAAGTAATAATTTTTTTTTTTACTCCTAAAAAATGTTGAAGTTACTTTTAACGTTAAATTAATTATCTTTCCTCTCTCCCCTATATTTAATAGGGTTAAAAGTAAAAAAATTACATTAATTATTTTAACATCTTATATTTTGGATTATAATTTTTTTTTGTAACTAATCTTTTATATTATGAATTGGAGAGAGTATTATAAAAATCTGATTGTGACAGCATGATGACTCAACCACACAAGGCACCAACAAAATAAATATCAACACAACTTATAAATGGGAAAATTCCACTTAGTCCCCGAAGAAGAAACTTAATTTCCAATAGTCCCATAAGATTTTGAAACTTCATTCCATCCCTTTTGACAAAATTAAATTAAATATTATAGGTGGAGAGACAATTATGCCCTTACATTATTTTTTTCTTCCAAAAAAAAAAGATCAACCCACCACAGTTTCAGCAATCGGCCACCAGAATACCAGTGGTCGGATCTCCAATATTTTTTAAATAAGGTGGCTAGGGATTTGACCGGTTAGGGGCCATCTAAGCTCTGGTTGGCTGATCTTTTTTTGAAGGAAAAAAAATACAAGGGCATAATTGTTTTTCTCTTTAATATTTAATTTAATTTTGGTAGGGGTGGAATGAAGTTTCACAATCTTATGAGGGCAATTGGAAATTAGGTGTTAAGTGTCTTCAAGGGCACTAAGTGAAGTTTTCCCCTTGGGAATTGGTCTTTGCATTTTCACAGACGAAGATGATACAACATCGAATATAAAAGGGTTTTGCAAACACCTGAAAACTATTAAATCATTATTAGTTTGACTTGGTGTCACGTCAAGGTTAGATGCATTTAATTCATTGTCACCTAGGAAGCTTTTCTTATGTGTCAGGGTGGCCTTGGCATAAAAAGATGGAAGTCAAAGCCTTGCTTGCAAAATATATTTAGTGTTTGTTAGCACCTGCAACAAGGACTCCTTACCCAAATGTATTTCTGAGAAAGACGAAGGAATACGATCTATAGAATCCCAGATGTGGAAAAATATTAGCAGTGTTAAAGTGTTAATCCTTGATAATCTAGGATGGAAATTGGGAAATGGTTCACAAATCAACCTCTTACAGCTGCCTCCGGTGGCTTTTGCAGTGTGTCCGCCCATTGACAATAATATTAGTGGTTGACTTGTTACTACACGATCAAAGATGTTGGAATGTGAGACTTCTCAGGCTCCTTCAATAGAAACATAGTAAAAGAGATTCTTTACAGCCCATTTTTAGTGCTCCAGTGTCGTGATGAATTAATATGGACAAGTAATTGTAGTGGTAAATACTCAGTGGCAAATGGGTACAAAACTCTGGTAAGTACTCATCTTGCTTCTGATAATTCCTAGGAGATAATCAATAAATTTCATCTCCTCCCTCCTATTGCTTTAATTTGTTCATTTGGAAGCTCTTGTACCATGCCACACCTGTCAAAGATATCATGATTAGACATCATATAAATATGGATCCTAATTTTCTAGTTGGCTGCCCAACGGTTGAAACCAGAGAACACTTGTTTCTACTTTGTCCATGGTCTAGAGCTATATGGTTTGGATCACATTTATCCTTTAAATTTGATACTGATCAAACAATTTCTGTGGATGTGTGGCTACATAATTCACTCTCACGTGTAGATAAGGTGTTTGGCAAGTTCATATGTCTGGTTTTATATTACATCCTGTATTTTAGAAATGAATGCCTTTTCAGAGATGCACGTATTGACCCAAGCCAGGTTCTTTCTGTTATATATGCTGCCAATACAATAGGTAGTCAATGGCACCATATGGATCAACAACAAAGAACTCCTAAGACTCCTAAACCTCAGTTGTAGGATATAATTATGGGGACTAGTTGGACAATAATAGTTCATACGATAAAAATTCACAACGCCAAGTCTCCCATGAGGATCGAAATTAAGATCTTTTACCAAGGGGAGCTCTTTCGTACATTCTCTTGCGATAAAGGTAATTATCTAAATTGGTTTATTCATCTATCTGCATTAAGGCGAGCTAGTAAAACAGGCTATTATCTCCTCGCCTACATCCCATGCTTTGCACATCCACTCTACAACTGACAACCTGATCAAATTGCTTCAGCAGTAACTAAGTATCCAACATCATAATAATGTCCTTTTGGAAGGCTATTTATGCCTAATTAGGATGTTTAGGTCCTGCTCTTATGGTTAGGCAGTTTTTCTTGGAAATTGCCTAACGTCGAAACGCCCATGAAGTGACGTCGCCAATGCCCTCTTAAAGCTGGCCTTTCAACCATGTGAGGTACCGACCCATATAATTCTGCAATTAATTAATCAAAAGAAAGCTCATATATAATGACATAATGGAAGGACCAACTATTAATTAAACATCCATTCAGTTCCATACTTGCAATTGATTGTTCCGAAGATGTGTAATAGCAGTAAACATCAGTATTTTTCTTAATAAGCAGTCCCTTGATTCGAAAGCACCGTCAGTCCGTTGTTACTGTTATGAGGAAGCAAGACTAAGATCACACATATTTTCTTATTAAGATGGAGGTGGGCAAATGAATAAATTGCTTAAACATGAGGGGATTGTATATTTTGTATATTGTAATTCCCATGCACATATGATGTAATTCACTTACCCTAATATTTTTGCCTAAGGCCGAAATGTAAGTCAGAATTAGTTAATGTAATCAAGCAACGGCTAGGGGAGTAGTGCGATGGAAAACGCTTGGAAATAATACTACATTTGATTCTTAATATAAAAACTAGTTTGACTTTAATTTGATCTTAAATATAAGGCCTTAATGTACTTTGTCTTTCATATTTATTCTTTTTTTTAGATAGTCCTTGTAATAATTGTGTATATTTAATATTCCATCAAATAGTAGTTTTAGCTAATGCACATAATTAGTAAACATATTTTAGGAAAGAAAATACTTATTTATTATAAATAACTAACTTAATTTTCTCAAATCAGTCAACTAAGTCTTATATTAAGGATTAGAGGTAATATATAGATAGTCTCAATGGTTTCTTTGCCAAGGCCTAAGGACAATAGAGACCTAAGCCACGAGCACCTAGGAGAAGGAAGAAGAAAGGAGAATACAGATGTTAACATTATACGTGTTAATTATGATCATTAATCATGTTGAAAAATATAGCAAGAACTTGTTGAGAGATGATCATGACTTATTTCACAAGAGTATTAACATTATTAATTGGCACCCAATGTTTTGTGAAAGTAACTAAAGCTTTTATATGTATGATGAATAGTTTGTGAAAAAGTTGTCATCGGACAATGCAAGCTTTTATATCCACGTTATTTCATCCACCTTGAACTCCATGTATGATTTCCAAAATCTGGTTCCATAATTAAAAAAATTGATAAAATTAATAAGCAAGTTATTAATACCTCCAATCAGTAATATAAAATCTAGATAACTAATTTAGAGATTTAAAAAAAGTTAGTTAAGTTGGTTATTTGTTATATATGTATATTGGTCTTCTTAAACTATCATCTTTAATAATGTGTAGTGAATGATTGAAATTATCTCTTGATAGGAACCTCTTACAATCAATAGGAATATTTTGAGAAAGATGAAAAGACAAAGTGAATTGAAATCTTACATCTAAGACTAAATCTAATTTATTAACTAACTCTTATATTAAGAACCGAATGTAGAATAGTTTTCTCTATTTTTTAATCATACTCTTATAATTTTTTTATTAGATGCTTGTAATTTTACCTTATTTTTTTTATTAAGTCCTAATAATTTTATGTAATCCTTTTTTGGCCAGAACATAATTTTATCTGATTTTCAATTAGGTTTTTGTAGTTTTTTGCTCCCTTCTTTTGCCATGTCTAATATCAAGTCCATGTGGTGACAAGGTGACAATGACCTGGCATATTGAGTGTCATGTAAGAGTGCCATGTGTCTTTTAACAGTCAAAAACATTGTGATAACCATGGGGTGACATTGCTACAATGTGAAAATTTTTGGCGTAACAATATTGTTCCTAAAATTTTTTTTGAATACCCATATCTCCTAAGTGAAAATTGTTAGGACAAAATTAGAAGTTATGCTTTTATAATAATTTGATTAAAAATTAGGTAAAACTATAAGAACATGATTAAAAAAAAACTATACGGCTCTAATCAAGAATCAGATAAGATTATGAGAACCTACAAATTAATTTCCTCATAAAAGAA